TAAAAATGACAATCCTGCCCAGACTACTCGATCTCTTTTAGATATTGCCCGTGGCCGTCCCTGCAACATATCTAGGACAGATGCAATCTCACTTTTTGGCCTATTTATGGGCTAATAAAAGGGCCCACTTGCGCCATCAGATCCTGTCCAGACCTCGAACAGCGGGAGGGTTGAGCTTTCCTGACCCCGCCCTATACTATAGAGCTACTCACCTGTCTGTGATTGTAGACTGGTGCTGTAACGCAGGAAAGAAACTTTGGGTAGCCTTGGAGCAGGAGGATTGTCCCTGGCTGCTGCAGTGGATTCCCTGGATCTCCCCGAAATTGCCGCTCTCCTCCTGGTGAAACCCACTGGTCCGTGCCACGATGCTTGTGGCAAACAAGGTGCTGCCCTCCCCGGCCTCTCTCCTTTAACCATCGCCCTTGACGTCAGTAGTGGGGTGCCCTCATTTGGCTCCGGGTCTGCATAACCCATTGGCCAGAGCCCTAGAGACCTCAGGGATGACTAGACTATAGCACTTCAGAGACGCAGATCGCTGGAAACAAGTTGCTCAGATCCAGAATCTCACTGACCCACCTTTGCGGCTGTGGTGCACCCTACAGGTGAGACACTATCTATGCTCCTTCTCAGGAAAGACGTGCCATCAGAGACAGTTGACGGATTTTGAGACCATATGCTTGAAGGCAGAACCGACTAGACACACCTTGACCCACATGGTGAACTGCCTGCGCAATTCCCCAGACCTCTCCCACCCGTACTTTGTAAGACAGTGGGCCGCTGATCTAGGAGTGGATTTTACTCCTCAACAGGTAGACCGTATTATCTACTTTGCCCTACGGTCCTAGGTAGCGAACAAATATCAAGAAGCGGGGTACAAGCTTTTGACCAGATGGTACAGAGTGCCTACGACCCTCCATGTTAAGTGCCACTCTGTGTCCGAAGCTTGTTGGTGCTGTGGAGAAGAACCAGGCTCTATATTGCATGTGTTCTGGTCCTGCTCGAAAGTCAGGCCTTTCTGGTCCCAGATTGCCACACTGATAGGCAAAATTACAGGCCTTACACTCCCGTTCACACCCTTAGTGTATCTCCTCCACTTGGCTCCGCTTTCACACAAAAACTATCACCGGTCATTGCTGCTTCACATGCTGAACGCGGCAAGGGCCTGCATTCCGGCTTTATGGAAGCAGTACTTCCAGCCGTCTATCGAGATGTTGGCTAGACGAGTGGAGGAGATCAAACTGATGGAAGACCTGACCTCCTCATTGAACGGGACCCAGGCCAGATTTGTTGCTACATGGGCTACTTGGTACCTGTTCAGAGACTCAGCTGACTTCTCTAATGTGTGCCGGAACTGAAGAGAGGGATAGAATGGCTCAAAGAAGGGGCATTGTTGCCCTGCTGGGGTACGGCTAGAAGTGATCCATGCCGGACGGCCTGGAACTGACTGATACCTGGAATTTCCCCTTTCCTCTCCTGGTGTGTTGTATGTCGCTCACTCTTTTGCTACTTGTTTTCTGTTGTTAGTTATGTCTGTCTAGGTGTACTCCTTGGACCGAAATGGTACTGGCCTCCTACGATAGTGGGCTGGACCATACGGTCTACCAAATAGTAATGTTTATTTCTTGTTTTATAAATAAAAAATGCCTTAAGAGATGGGAGGAAGAGAGTACGACCTAACCTGAACCGTCATCATTTATATATATTAGATATTATATATGTTCTGATACAGAATGTTCGTACTTCCTTAGTATTAGCCTTTGTGGTCATGTTGACTGACTTGGATTGATGTGAGGCCATGTGGCTCCTCTTTTTGCTCCAGTTGAAGGTTGCTGGGCTCTACTCTCAGTGTGCACTCTCTGATTGTGCGGGCATGAGGCAGCTGTGACATGGGCGACCAGGAAGCCTGAGGAGGTTCTGCTGAAGAATGCCCTGAGGCACTAGGTCAGTCACAAGTCCAACCAGTACTTCATCCTGCAGCGCCGCTTAGGACATGTGGACAGTGTAGCCAAATTCACCGGTGAGTTCCCTACACAAGGAAGTTTACATACAGCCCCGTACATAGGAGAGCCAGTGGGTAGGTTCATTTACAGCCCCATACAGAGGAGAGTCGGGTTTAAACTTGTGGGCATGAGAATGTTGCAGGCCTCAGAAGGGATACATGCTGAACATTACTATGACCTGAGGTGGAAACCTTTTTATCCATCTCTTATATGGTATATGTCATCTGGACCTGGTCTGGGAAGGGTGCAATGTTTTTCACACTTCTAGTTTTATGGTGGGTGACACAGATGCTTCTCTAGCTAAGCCGGGCACTGTGCATGAAGACTTCAGCGTCCATATTAGAAGGAGCATCTTATACGCTAGCGGCTCCATAGAGGTTACCGAGTGGGAAATCAGCCTATGGTTTCACAAAACGGAGCTGATCAAATAGGAAACGTCCGATTACAATGACTTGAATCAAGTTTGATGCTGCTACATGGCCCCTCTTGCACCCTTCTTCCACCCAGTCGATAATACAAAATCACCTGCACTCCATACAGCGTACAGACCTTGAGTAAGAGGTTGGTGCTTGAAGTGACAACACGGATGGCGCCGTGTCAGATACAGTCCATAATAGAAGTCACCAGCACTCGATGATATGTGCAAGAAGTAAAGCACTTTTTATTCAATTGTCACAAGCGTCAAACAGCCAACCTTTCGGGGCCACGCAGGGTCTCTTCTTCTGGGCGATATAGTGACCAATTCATTTATGTTTAAAGGAGAGCTATGAGGCGAGTGAAAATCACTCAGCCTCATAGTTCTAGCCGACCTGTGACAATGAAACTGTCACAGGTCGGCTTAGCTAGAGAAGCATCTGTGTCACCCACCATAAAACTAGAAGTGTGAAAAACATTGCACCCTTCCCAGACCAGGTCGAGATGACATATACCATATAAGAGATGAAACTGTCACAGGTCGGCTCAATAGATCGGGAAGTGAGCGAACACATAGCGTCGCTCACTCACTTCTCGATCTATCCCTGCAGAGAGCCGTGACTGTCACTCACGGCTCCCTGCAGGGATTCCCCTCCTCCCCTGTCCGATCCTCCAGCGCTGACTGGCGGAACGGACCGAGGAGGGGACGGGTACATCTGGCTCTGCCTCTAGATAGGCAGAGCCAGCTGTCAATCACACAGCTGGGTGGATCTAGACAGTAATGTCGGGATCCGTCCCGGCTGCGGCGCCCCAGTATACTGAGCTTTGGGTGATGGGAGGACGCTAGTTTGTGTCCTCCTGTGACCCTGGGGAGAACTATGAGGAAAAGCAATACCCAGTTCTTGCAGCAAGGGACTATGTAATTTAAATATAGTTATACTACAACTTTCTACCATGGATATTGTGACGGAACAACTGTATGCTGTATATTAATTTTCACACTACCCTGTGCTTCACAATTGTTACTATTATCTGCATGGAACAAAACTGTCTTGTGGGATAGTGCCAAAACTACCAATCCCATCTGCCTCCAGTCTACAGACTGACGTATATGTTCCTGCGGTATTCATTCTGAGTTGTACCTTCATTTTCAGTTGATAAGTATTGTTTATTTCAAGTGAAGCACTAAACGGATTGCATGAAGGAATGCATTAGTAAAAAGTGCATCATTATTTTTTTTTTATTGTTACGGTGGTGTATGATGTCATACAGTTCCTACGATCGTTCTTGCTCACTATATAGCGTATGCTGTAGAACTCAAACCTGAACCACCATATTTACAATACCCAGGTGACAGAATTGGTCATATTAAGGGTAAAAAGAAATACTAGCTTGTCCAATCTCCGCACTTGAGATCCAGAGCAAAGAAGAGACTTTCGCTGTTGTGTTACAGTAGGTTAGGTGGAAATGGAACTGGGAAATGAAGAGAGCACATTCAACTAAGACACAGTGGGAACTGGGAAAAGAAGAGAGCCCATTCAACTAAGTCACTAAGACACAGTGCAAGGCAGGATCTGAGTGTTTCAAGATAGGCGTGGAGGTGAACAATGTCTTCAACCAATCTGAGTTCTGGGTGACCTGAAAAAGGGGGTGTGCGAGCTGATGAGCCGGGACAGTGAAGGAGAAGCCCCAAACCAATTTGCCATAAAAGTTTGCAAAACCCAGAAAGCCCTCAAATCCCTTTCTATGAATATGAGATAGCCACTCCAAAACCATGCAGACTTTTTTAGGATCCATGGCAACCATAAGAATATCAATGAAATCCCTGATGGTGTTGTTTACAAAATGCTCAAAAGGTAGTCAGGGCAGTGCTGAGCCTGGAGAGTTTTGTAGGATATTCAAAGTGCCCAAACCAGGTACAAAAAGCTGTCTTCCACACATCTCCCAATTAGGTTGTAAGGCCCATGTAGGTCCAGTTTGGTAAAAAATCTTGGCAGACCTTAGATTTTGAAAAGCTTTGGAAGTGGGTAATGGTCCTTGAAGGTAAATTTGTTGAGGACGTTGTAGTTGAAACATGTTTGGAGAGTATTATGCTTCTTTTCAACAAAGACAATACCCACACCTGCAGGGGAGGTGGATGGCCCAATCAATCCTTTCTTAAATTATCTTAGATGTAATCCTTAAAGAGTAGCTAACTTGGGTTTGGATAGGGAATATATCTGAGCAAACGGGATGTCAGCACTGGGAAGAAGTTCAAGTGGACAATCAAAGATAGGTGAGGGAGGGGTGGTATATATGGCCCTTTTTTGACAAAGATATCAAGGAAGTCATGATAGGCCTGGTGATTGTTCTCATTTTTGGCCACCTCCATACAGAAAAGACTTTCAGGTTTGGACAAGCAGAATGGGCAGCAATATTCAGAAAGAAAAGTGACCTCTCCTAAGGCCCAATTATTGCCAGGGTACCTCTATGACATAGAAAAAAGGAAGATGGTATAATGTAAAAACAGATGTACTCTTGATGACTCGGAGGAACTTTTGTCAGGAGCTTGAGTAATGGGTCCAGTCTTAATTGCTGAACCTTCAGTCAATCAGAAAGGAAGTGCAAGGGTTTGAGTCGAAGGGCTGGGCTTAACTGACTGGCAAAAGATTCATCTAGGAAGCAGACACATGGGCCCAAGTCGATGACGGTCTGAACTTTTGGGCCCTGTAAAGACAGTCATAGTGAAACACGAGAAAGAGAAGCCAAAGTGGCTAAGGTAAGCTGAAAACTGACAAATGGTTCCTTAACAATTTCAAAGGAAATGACCTGAGGCCCCGCAGTAGAAGCAAATATTGGCCTGTAAGTGGTGCTAGCATACCTCAGGGGTTAAAATCGATTGTATTAAATTCAGTTGTATGGACTCAGGGGCATCTTGAGGTGTGGAGGATTTCATTGGGATAGAAAGCCCCTATCTTCTCTTGCTTCCACTCTCTGAGACAGCAGTCAATCTGGGTGGCTAGACAGATGAGCATGTTTGGTATCAAGGATGCTTACTCTAGCTAGCTCATCAATAAGGTCACTATCCCTATAAAAGGTTACCTAAGGCTGATTCTGCTGTGACCACTTGGCAAGGGCCATCATAGATTTCGCCCAGTGCTTCAAAGAGCAAGATGATGCATGAGAAAGTCTCGCTTTCCTGATCTATAAGCTGAAAAGCCCAGGCTTGAGGTTGCCCCCGAAGGGGAGAGAGAGAGAGGGAGAGAATGATGCCCACTCTATTGCATTTATTATATGTCTTGGGCCCTAGGGAAAGGTAGAGAATGCAAGTGTTGTAAAAAGTCTGGAAATGGCTACGGTCTTCTGATACATGTTTGATAGGCGCAGATAGGGCAGCAGGAGGTGGACAAGTACTGGAGGCGATCCATTAGAAGATAGCCTCTCTGAACCTCTTGTACAGAAATCTTGGGCTCGGAGATCTGCTTACAGAATGAATCAAGTGCAGAACTCTCTCCAGTAGCCAACATCTTTGGCTGTGCTCTGTAGCAGGATAAAGAGGGCTGGACAACAGCGAAGCCTGAACAAAGCTGGACAGGACTAAATTGTAAAAAGAGTAACAAGGTGATCCTGGGCTGTAGCAGAGCAGAAAGAGCTGGAACAAGGCTGAAAAAGAGCAAAGCCTGCACAGTGCTGTAACAACAAAAAACGTTTGACTGTAGTTGAGCTTTAACCAATGCAGTCTTTATCTGGCTACGTAGTACAACCTTTCTCACACCTTTTTTAATCCCAATTGCCATTTCTTTGTGTATTTTATTTAACATAATATTTTGTATTTTCAGGATATCTTTACTGATCTCTATATTGCCAGTAATAGCTTCAAACAAATAGCTGGATACATTACTTATCATGTACTTTTTCTGTTCATATAATGACATGTAACTGATACCCACGCTTTTCTAACATTTAAGATGTTTGCACATCTTGTTATTCTGTGTAAATTTACAGTAAATAATACTGCACAGAAAAAGTTGTCATTTAATCTAAGGCAAAAGATGGGGACAAATATGCACATATATCTTTGAGGCATCCATCTAATAAGCTGTTTATCAATCTTATAATTAATAATTGTATAAAAATTAAAAAAATGTAATCCATCATACTTGCGAATCTGAGCCAACGTGTCAGTAACTGTCTTGCATCTCTTCAGAAGTCCATCCAAGCGTAGGGGCTCCTCCTTCAAGAACTTAACAGCCTCCACTTCTACTCGAAGCACAACTCGCATTTTACTCTGCAGACTGGGAAACTGAGCTGTAAATAAGAAAGAGAGTGAGAAAAAAATCCAAACAGGTACAGAACAAAAGCAAGAAAACCATGGGAGAGAGCCTTATGGTATAGTGTGTTAAGTGATCAAGATAAATGAACTTTTAAAAAGGTAGAGATGGTGGTACTCGCATCTGTAAGGTTGCTGAATTAAGGGGTCAGGCAACCTGCTAGAAAGGCATGCGGAGAATATTATTTGTCTCTGGGCAGATTGGTAGCTCTCAAGGTAGAGAATGATGTAGTGATCTGGATCATCCTATGCCAAGGGCTCTTATATTCCGGTATGAACAGATAGAGATGTGTAGTCCTCAAAAACTGGTACTGTGGTGCGCCCACCCACCCGTAAGGATATAAAGGTCTGGAGAATGTTTCTTTGACAGATAGGGTTTCTTTCTTATTGATTTCAACAATGAATAAAACAAGAATGCCTTTAACACGTTTTGTAGCAACTTCCTCAAGATGGTATATTAACCCCTTCATGGCTGAGCTTGTTTTCAGTTTCTGTTCATAAATGACTGACACACTTTTTACATTTTTGCTGTGTGTGGCAGTAATATACAGTACTTACTTACTAAATGTACCCACACATATTATATATTGTTTTTTAGAGGACAGATAGGGCTATATAATTATATCAAATGTGTACCTAACGCCTCAATTCATTCACATTAAATATTAAAAAATGAGGAAGGAAGAAAACACTTTTTCACAAGTTTTGATTATTATAATTTTTTAGAAATAACTTAGGAACAGCTAATAATAACCTTACAGACTGATCCTGACAGTATGTCAGAATCAGATCTCTGAAGGTTTCTGATCGTGCCCAGACGATCAGAAGTGATACATTTCAGGCACAGAGATACATTGTAACATTGTGCCTGAAATGTATCACACAGCTTCACAAACATGGGGCAGTCTATGGAGCTGTCAAAACGAATAGCAGAGACTCACTCTGCTACCTCTCTGCTATCTTCAGCTGTCAAATACCAGATCACTATTTAGCGATCCGGTATTTGTATGTAACGTCTTCATTCTTTCATAAATGAAAGAAAGAAGCTTTTACAAAAGCTCTTAATTATTTCATGAATGCCAATACTGAGGCATTCATTAATGAATGGTAACCGCTGAGAATCAGCGGTTACCAGCTTTACAGAGCCGCAAATACCTGGTCACATACAGTGTATGTGGCCAGTCATTTAAGCACTTTGATCAGTCACCTCTGCCCCCTGACCTCACAGAACAACACCTGGCTAGACAAATAAATAGAAGCTCCCCCCTCTTACAGATGTTCTCTTTTTGTCCTTGCTCCGGACATCCTTGTCTTGATTGTTTGTTGGATTTTTCTATTTGCTGTCCCTACTTCTGCCAGGGTCCATGCGCTCCCAGGCAGATGACCCTCTGATAGAAGTAAAGTTTTTATATGTAGGGTGCTCCTGGTGCCATAGCTTTTTGTGTGAGTGCATGACATACAGGGGCTGGTAAGTATATTCTCTGGGCTCCCTCCTCCCCCCTCCTTTTTCCCTTCTTCGGCGACTTCTGGGCGGACCGGGTTTCTGATGTTTGGGTCATGAATGTCGTCAAGAAAGGTTTTCGTCTTTTGTTTTCCAGATCCCTTCCAATAAGTCACATTCAGGCAGCGCATGTTCATTCATCTCCCAGCGAGAGGTTGTTGCTAGAGCAATATATTGCAGAATTGCTACAACAAAGTATTATAGTGTCAGTTCTTTTGGCAGGGCTTTTACTCTCCAATCTTTCTAGTCAGGAAGGCATCCGGGAAATGGAGATCTGCCCTGGATCTCAAAGCTCTAATTTCCTTTCTGACAGTAGTCCTTCCCTATGGAGTCATTGCTACCATAGACTTAGTGGTGCAAAAGGGGGATTGGATGGTATCTGTGGACCTGGAGGATGCCTACCTGCATATCCCAATTGCCCCAGGTCATCAGAAATTTCTGAGGTTCCACATCTGGGTGAAATGTCACAAGCACACCAGTCCTTTTAAGATAGCAAAAACTTAATTTATTGAACTTTTTTGTCATATGACCAAACAAGCGCTTTCGGGACCGCACAGGGTCCCTTCATCAGGCTTTAGCATTGACAATTGTACAGTGATCACATCTTGGTATAAATAGACAGACAGTTGCATAAAACACCAATAAACACACCCTTTGACATCACAATGATGTCATAATCCCGCCAAAAAACATAGAAAAAAAATGTGCAGATGTTAGCTGTCATATACAGTATAATCAGAACAGAAAAGTACTATGTGCCATCAATGAAATGCTGCATATGAACAGATATCAGCCATGGATCAAAACGTAAGTGGCTTACTTGGTAGGAGGAGAAAAACTAAGCTGGTAACATCATCAGACTGCTGTATATTCCAGCAGCCATTCAGTTCCGATCATTACTATGGTAACAGGACGCTGTCAGGTCCTGTGTGCAGAGGAAGATCCCGCCCACTGGTGCTGGCAGAGAGCCAGCTGTGTGTAATGTAGAAGGAGAGAGAGAAGAGAAAATGTCCTGGATCTGCAGTGTACATGGTTTCCAGTGAAACGTAACGTATTGACACACAGGGGCGCCACCTGCTGGTGCTAGCTAGTATTGCAGGTGGATAACACAGGAATTATTTCTATTTCACAAAAAGGGCAGTGATGAGAATGGCTATTGTGTGTGGATCTGCTGAAGTGTTGAAAGCAGGACTATTAAACAGAAATGCACATAAATTATGGAATAAGTGGACATGTTGAAATTAAACATAATGAAATCTAAACAGTTGGGACGGTATATACTGTATATGTAAAAATTGCCATTAGTTATCAGTCTAGAGGTACGATTCCATAATGACCATCAGATATGAAAACAGTTAAAAGAGATAAGGTAAAAAAGTGTGGATCTTGTTATAAATGACTGCTGAAAAGAATAGGGGCGCCCTTCAGTGAATTTGAATGTGACGTCTGCGATTAATTGAATAATGGTCCAATCAAACACCAATATGTGTAAGAAAGAACCAATGCTCATATAGGAGGGAGTACCAGCGAGTAGTACAGGATTCAGATCTGAAATATTTAAAAACATTTTTACAGTATTTATATATAGAAATATACATATACATGCATGTACATATGCATACACATACATATATGCACATACATGCTTGCATATATCATGCACATAATTTATAGTGTTAATACTGACCCACTGAGAAACTAGTTAAAAAACAGATATATATATAAAAGACCCAGTGGGCCTCACGACGTAGGAGTTGTTTATTTCTGTCACCACCTCTAGGATGTTTTGCTCAATGACCATGCCTCTCAGGTCATGCGTTTGATGTTGTTTATGTGCGAAATATTACTGCTACAGGCTTATTTGCATCCAGTTCTTCCCCTTTCTGGACTTTTAATAGTGCAATGCGGATATCGCTTCTATGTTTCTGGAATCTTCGTTCAAAAGGGCCTGTTGTCATGCCTACATAGACTAAGGAACATGGACATTTAAGGATATAAACACAAAACTCTGTGTTACAAGTAAAGAAGCCACGAATGGGCTTCTTTACGAGGGCGAGAAAAGGCATCGCCACAGATTATAGCACTGCAAACATTGCAATGATAGCACCGGAAGCATCCAGTTTTATTGGAAAACACGCATTGTTTTTTGCTGTATTTAGGCCTGGGATCGGCCTGCACCAGTAGGTCCCTAAGCTAGAATAGATACATTATGTATCTATTCATGAAAGAAAAAAAAAAAGCCAGTATAGCTTGAGAGAGATATCTCTCGATCTATACGAGCTGTCAGAATGCTGGCAAAAGCCGGCATGTGTGTCTGCTCTGCTGTGACTCTCAGACACCCGATATTAAGGTATCGGGTGTCTGAAAAAGGTTAACCCTTTCATTAATGAATGCCTCTGTAGTAAGGCATCCATTAATGAATGTTAAAAGCTGATTCTCAGCGATTAACAGCCCTCTAAAGCAGCAAATAACTCGTCATGTACAGTGTACGTGACAAGTCATTTGGTCCCTTTGTGGCTGGACGTACAGTGTACGTCTCCGTCACGAAGGGGTTAATGTTTCCTGTTTTTTTTTAAAAAGGCGGCACACTGCAGAATACCAGCAGCTGTAGAGGAACAACAAATCCAAGCAATAATAATTTATACAGCGCAATGCAGAATATCACCAGCTATAGAAGACTACAACAAATCCCAGCAATAATACATTATATACAGCGCATATGTATTGCGCTGCTGTATAATGTACTATATTGCACACCACACTTTTTTTTTTTACTTGCACCGCTCCAAGCTTGCTCCCGTGATTGACTACAATCTTAGTACAAACTAGTAGTCCATCACTGGAGCCTTTTAAAAAAAATCTGATTAATAGAACATAATAATCGGCTAACTAATCGATTTGGAAAATAATCGTTAGCTGCAGCCCTAGCGTGATCGGCATGTGTCTGTGGAAACGCGACAAGAGTCACTTGCTGAACCTTTCATTTCTTAATGCACCCCAAATGCGGCCAGCACGCCGTGAGGTTTTCTGCTGCATTTCCATGCATGCAGGAGCAGCAGAAAAATGCATCCCGCGCATCGCACAAAATAGAGGAAGAGCCATTTTGCTATGTTTGCCACGCAGATATCTTTGTAATATCCCCTTCGCACACCGTACCTATGTACCCCAAAATCCAGCGGGTGCTGGAGCAACTGGTGGATGGCACCACAATGTACGATCTAGAAGATATGTTCTCCACACACCATTCTGCTCTGGAATGTCCTATTTATTTGTATTCCTTTTAGCATGACATGTGAATGCAAATGTGTATTCCTTTAGCATGAACATGTCATGCTAAAGGAATACAAATAAAAAGGACATTCCGAAGCAGAATGGTGTGTGGAGAACATATATTCTAGATGCCACGCAGATATGACCATTGAAATCAATGGAGCAGCACGGCAAATGCAAATGCACGTTCGCAGGACATGCAGGTGT